TGCAGGTCTCAGCAAGTCCCTGTGTGAGATGTGACAGTTGCTTATAGGTGATTGTAAAGCAAGCTCAAGTGTTGCATGATTGGTGCGTTGGATTACTCGAGGGGTGTTGAGTATTGGCGTCACCTGCCGCGTGACGGCAGGGTGGCACGCTCACGTGCGTGTGCGAGTGAATATCCGTTCAGCGGTTTAAGGTCATCAAACGGGGACAGTTACCAGCACAGACACATGACCTTGAGGCCGCTTACATTGAATAAGGAAGGAGCGATCCGTCAAGACAGCTTGCGAGGTTACGCTGGCAGTCGGTTAAGCTGACTCCTAACAAAAGGGACCCTAGGATTTGTTCCCACACGCAAAAAACTATCAGGAGCCGGCTGCATATTTTGCAAGAAGTTCGATTACTTAGATGTGTCCCTCAACAGCGGAGAATAGTTAAAACAAGTAATTTTGACTTTAAACAGTACCTCTTCCGAGGTTGATGGCGCTGTAGAAGAAGAGGGAGGCGCTCCTCTTTATAGATATCTTGCAATCTAACTTGAAGGTCAATAGCTTTATTACGCTGCTGTAGTAAAATGCTATCACCAGACTTTTAGGAAGCACGAAACGCGGGAGCTTGGACTAATCACCTCGGTATTATTGAGAGAACGGGGTTGGATCTCACGCAGTAGCACCTGACTTCATTAGATTACAGATGAGAAGCATAGGTCCGAAGCACTATACTAGAAACGCAGACGCCAGGAAGATGGGAGTCACTTGTTAGTTAATCTACATTAAAGACTCGTGGATGAGGAAATTGGCTTTAGCAGAGGCTATCTGTAAAATGAGCTCTGCCCAGCGCTAGCTGTGCCCTTGGACAAGTTGTGTAAGCCCCTGTTCGTTCCCGTGCGTCTTAGATCTGCATTTTTATAGGCGCCTTTGTCGTCTGCAGCCAAGTGGTGAATAAGGAACGTTGTCTGGCCGTGTTAGGAGTGAACCTAACCGACTGTCAGCATAACCTTGCAGGCTGTCCTGACGAATTGCTCTTGGGGCCGACAGCCAACAATGATACCTTGTTCAATGCGAGCGGCGTCAAGGTCATATGTCTGCGCTGGTGAAAGTTCCCACTCGATGACCTTAAACCGCCGGATGGATATTCACTTGCACACACGTGCGCATACGCACGCGAGCACACGTGAGCGCGCCACCCTGCGACCACACAGCAGGTGACCTCAATACTCGATACCCTTGGAGTAATCCAACGCACTAATCATACAACACTTAAACTCGCTTCACAATCACTTAGAAGCAACCGTCACATCCCATAGAGGGACTTGCTGAGACTTGTAGACACCCTCAGGCGTGACTGGATGCAGTCTACATCAGCTCGGACTTCGCCCGCGGCCACTGCAACCCGAGACAGCAGCCCTGTGTTCTGCGCACAATAAAACCCACATTCGGGTAGCTTCCCGGGATTCCCTGGGGGATTCGGACAGGGCATAATCAGATGGTGACATCCCAGTCTGCCACCGTTACAACGAGCCAATGCAAAGACTCGGAGGACGCTCAGCGGCAAATCGACCACCTGCGGACCGAGGTGGACCGAGAGACATGAGGCAGCATTTGCATGCGAGCGGACTATCTCGAGCAGGAGCGCGTGAGGCAGACAAGAAAATGTGACAGCAGCAAACATGGAAATTGACTGCCCAATGCTACCTTGTTTTTTTTTCGGAGCCAAGAAAGGTACTAAAGGATTTCGTAACGCCATTCATGGGAGCAGGGGGTGATTATCAAGCGAGTCCAAGTGCTGCATGATTGGTGCGTGGATTACTCGAGGGGTGCCGAGAATTGAGGTCACCTACTGCGTGGTTCACCTAAGTGGCTCTTGAGGAACTGCGACTAGCTGGACACGCG